AGCACGTAGTATGACCTCAACGATCGGCACAAAACTACAGGAATTGGAACGTGAGGTTGCCATATTGCGGTCGGGGGGGGCGTCCACAACAACCGGACAATTCACTCCGACGACTCTTGTGATTGGGGGCCCACCGCATGACACCCTCCTTCAAGCCGAACGTTGGGTTGCAGAGGTACTCTCGGAATCGAGCTGTGAGTTGCCATTAGAGGTCTACAAGAAGGGGCCCCCAACAGAACTTTTTGAAGGCATGCTTTTCTCCGAATTCAAATCCGCAGAATCGTCAGAACAAGCTCTTCCAATACTTCAAGCAGCATGCGAAAAACTGACGCCTAAAGAAGGGAGCCGCCGTGTCTGGTGCAACACGGACGCCCCAATCGAGCAGAGGGCCTCCATTTCTTTACTGCTGGGACTCCGGTATCTCCTCACACAGTGGGGATTCGACAAGACATTCTTGAAGGTCGACGGGGACTCCGGTATATTGAAAGCTGGTGGAAAACACATATTAAAAGTATATGTTGTAGATTATAAGTTGCATACGCAATGGCTGGACACTGACTGGGAGACTTGGCAAGAACTGCAACAAGCCCCAGAATGGGACGACCTGAAGAAGAAGATTTCGGAGCGTTTGGACATGAGTGCGGCCAGCTCGTCGAAGGGGGCGGGCAAAGGCAAAAACAGTTGAAGGTGCCAAGGGCGCACGGGCTTCGTTTCACCCTCCCGGAACAACACCTTACTGGGAGATCGCCGTGTACTGCGACAGCCTGGACCGAGCGATTTGGGCAAAGCTACCAACCGTTCCGCTCCAGGCGACAATTCTCCAGCAAACACTCTCACCACACAGACCTCTGTTCTCAAAATTGGTACTTGGAACGTCCGCGGACTGACAGAGATCAAGACATTCGAAATTATCAAACACATGGAACATTACAACATAGGCGTATTATGCATGCAAGAAACACGAATCACCGGGAGGCGGCACTGGCGACTGACCATTACTTGGTGACGTGTTCTCTGGGTCTCGAGACATCGACCGCCGATCGTCAACGAACCAGCGCATTCGACAGGGCGGCGATGCGCGATACGAGGGCCCGGGAATCCTTCACGAGCACTTTCAACGCCCACAGTGCCGCAGCAGGCAATGCGCAGCAGACGTGGGAGGATATGAAGAATGCGATTGCCGAGGCTCAAACGGCCCTGCCCCGTCGGGAATGCAAGAGACAAAAACCATGGATCACACAGCGTACTTTGGACCTGATAGCACAGCGGAGCACGGCTCGAGCCAATAATAATCCAACGGAGGAGAAGAAGCTGTTAAAACAAGTACGGCAGTCTGCCAAACTTGACAAAACTGCTTGGGTGGATCAACAGATTGCTGCTGGATGGAGATTGGGCTTCACTCAAACGTGTGTGGCGGCCAAAGCCGCGCAAACAAGGACGGCTAACAAATTTGCACGGCGATCTCGTTGACAGCACGGCCAGAGCAGACACAATGGCAGAGTATTTCGAACAAATACAATGGAAGGTGCGCCCGGCGACAGCTGTTACACGTCAGCCCTTGGGACCGGTCTTGCCGGTCGCAGAGGGAGATTTTACAGCACGTGAGGTGGGTGCAGCGATATCCAAATTCAGACAAGGAAAGGCGGCGGGGCCGGACGACATCCCAGCAGAGTATTGGAGAGCATTGGCACAGGACCCCAAAGGGCTCGACACCATCACGAAATTGACCAACCAATGTTGGCGCGAGAGGGACATTCCAGAAGACTGGCGGCACGCTGTCATTGCCACAATCTACAAAAACAAGGGCCCAGTGGATCAATGCGACAGCTATCGCCCTATCAGTTTGCTGTGCGTTCTGTACAAATTGTTTGCGAGATCATTGCTACAGAGATTACAACAAGCAGGGGCCGAGGATAGATTGACTGGAACACAGTATGGGTTTAGACGGCGAAGAGGTACAAACGACGCGGTTCATGCCGCCCGCAGATATATAGAACTAGCACATGCCGACCGCGATGGTGCCGTGGCCCTTCTGGCGCTCGACTGGAAAAAGGCTTTCGACTCCATCAATGTGCGGGCCCTTCTCGATGCACTCGCCGCATTTGGCGTGCCCCCACACATGCTGCAACTCATTGGGAATATATGCGGCCCCCGTCGGTTCTGCGTGGCAGACGGGCCCCGGAGGTCAGAAGAACGGGGGCAACATTCCGGTATATCACAAGGGTGTCCATTGTCGCCGTTGTTGTTTGTGATGGTTATGACAGTGCTCGTCAAAGACGCGGATACGTACTTAGAAGACGACGTTGCTCGAGCACTGTCTTCCGGAAGCCTTTCGGTACTCCTGTACGCTGACGATACAGTATTAGTCGGGAGCAACGAGCGACATTTGCAACAGCTTTTGGATGCAGTTGCACGTGCAGGTGCAAATGTGGGAATGGAGCTACACGGGGACAAATTCCAATTGCTTCAAATACATTGCGATTTGCGCATCACCGATCCCGCTGGAAAACTCATAATTCCCACCGCGCACATGAAGTACTTAGGGGCCACGCTGTACGACACCGGGAACATAAAGGAGGAGTTGGGGAGAAGGTTGGGTGTTGCATGGGGGGAATTTCAAAGGTATGCGCAGGCGTGGAAGCATACGTCAATCTGTTTGAATCGACAGTTGGAAGTGTTTGGGGCACTGATTATAACCAAAGTAATGTATTATTTAAGTAGCGCGTGGCTCAACAAAGCTGATAGACGCAGGCTCGATGGGTTCCAAGCCCGGTGCTTGCGTGTCATATTGGGCATCAAACCACCTTACATTTCAAGAGTGTCAAACAAAACCACCCTGGAAAGAGCAGAACAAACACCTTACACAGCGCAGCTACTCAAGAGTCAATTGGCGTGGTTTGGAAAGATTTGTCGCAGCAGCGATGCAGATGTACTGAGACAACTTACTTTTGTGCCTCACAGCGCGCGCCCAGCAACAAGCAATGTGAAAAGATCTCGTGGGAGACCGAGAAATGAATGGACAAAGTGTTTGCGCGACAAAGTTAAGGATTGCTTCCAATCAGAACAGCGCCTACTTGAAGCCATCATGGACGAAAAAGCTTGGACAGAGTTTGCATCAAAATATAAGGACACATGCCCGTGAGCCCTGGCAGGCTGCTTTTTCACGCCATATAAATGCATTCATTTGTCAATCATCGTCATCGTTCTCCTCCTCCTCCCCTTCCCTCGTCCTCCCGGCACGCATTTGGCGCGTCGGCGCTGTCCTGTCGCGCGTTTGGCGCGTCTCCTGTCTGTCTACGCGTTTGGCGTTGCCCGCTCGCTCGCAGAGTTGTCCTGCCCACGCGCGTTTGGCGTATGGCTGCTTCGTTCGTTCGTTCGCTCGTGCACCCCAGGGGAAGGTCACAGTCCCCCCAGAGGAGCGGGAGAGGGGACGAGGGGGAGGGAGGAGCAGGAGGGTGAGAAGGAGGATGAGAACGAGGCGGGAGACCAGGTGGAGGACGAGGATGATGATGGGGATGAGAATCATGATGAGGATGAGGATGATGCTGGCGTTGATGCTGATGCTGATGCTATTGCTGGTGCTGCTTTGCTGTTGCTGCTGCTGCTGATGATGGGGATGATGGTGACGATGATGACGGTGGCGGCGACGACGATGGCAATGGCGATGGCGATGTCGATGACAATGGCGATGATGATGATGATGATGATGATGGTGGTGACGATGATGATGAGGATGAGGATGCTGATGCTGCCGATGATGATGATGATGATGATGATGATGATGCTGATCACGATGATGATGCTGATGCTGAGGATGATGATGATGATGATGATGATGATGCTGATGCTGCTGATGATTATGATGATGAGGATGATGATGATGATGGTGGTGGTGATGCTGATGATGATGCTGATGCTGATGCTGATGATGATGATGATGATGATGATGAGAAGGGGGAGGAGGAGAAGGAGGAGGAGGATGAGGAGGAGAAGGAGGAGGGCGATGGTGACGGTGATGGTGATGGTGATGCTGGTGCTGATGCTGATGATGATGAGACTGAGGATGATATTGATGATGCTGATGGTGAAGATGATGATGATGCTGCTGCTGATGATGATGGTGCTGGTGATGATGATAATGGTATGCTGGTGATGACGATGATGATGATGCTGATGATGATGATGTTGTTGATGATGATGCTGATGATGGTGGTGGTGATGCAAATGCTGATGTTGATGATGATGGTGATGGTGATTCTGATGATGCTGCTGATGATGCTGATGCTGATGGTGATGACGATGCACATTGAGATGAACATGATGATGAAGAAGAAGCAGACGATTATGATGATGATGATGCTGATGCTGCTGATGATTATGATGATGAGGATGATGATGATGATGGTGGTGGTGATGCTGATGATGATGCTGATGCTGATGCTGATGATGATGATGATGATGATGATGAGAAGGGGGAGGAGGAGAAGGAGGAGGAGGATGAGGAGGAGAAGGAGGAGGGCGATGGTGACGGTGATGGTGATGGTGATGCTGGTGCTGATGCTGATGATGATGAGACTGAGGATGATATTGATGATGCTGATGGTGAAGATGATGATGATGATGCTGCTGCTGATGATGATGGTGCTGGTGATGATGATAATGGTATGCTGGTGATGACGATGATGATGATGCTGATGATGATGTTGTTGATGATGATGCTGATGATGGTGGTGGTGATGCAAATGCTGATGTTGATGATGATGGTGATGGTGATTCTGATGATGCTGCTGATGATGCTGATGCTGATGGTGATGACGATGCACATTGAGATGAACATGATGATGAAGAAGAAGCAGACGATTATGATGATGATGATGATGATGATGATGAGGATGCTGATGCTGATGCTGCTGATGATGCTGATGATGCTGATGATGATGATGCTGATGATGATGATGATGTTGATGATAAGGGGGAGGGCCAAAGGGTTCGGGAGCGAG